AATCAATGAAAATACACAGATGGGACTGGAGGAGCTGTTTACATTTTTACGCTGCTACAAAAAAGCCTGCAAACAGATACTTTGTTGAATATTGTAATTAATTGTAAAAAGTGATCAGAAAATTTGAGATCAATGTGTTTTTTACACCTCTGGTTCCACTGTGTGGTTATCATTGGATGGGCTGACAAAGCTTTTCTTGTTTTTTCAGCTTTGAATCTATTCAAGATTACTGCAAAGTTGCCGTCATCACAATTCTGGACAATACTGGATAATATTCTTTCCTTTCTTATTATCCCTCTAATTTCATGTAAGTGAAGCATCACTGATATGCGAGGTGTTCTGCTGGAATCTTTGGAAGCGAATAGCCGTGTAGTGATGATGTTTTGACGGAGTTGCAGCGGATGCAGTTTTCTTCTATTATCACCTTTCCACCCAGTGACCATTAACGTGCCGTTAAGGTTTATTCGGGCGGCCAGTCTGCGCGCAGTAATGAGGCGTTCCTTTGGGGGATTCTCTAGCGTCTCACTAATTGAGGCCAGATCTTTCTCCAAATGCTGTTTTCTGTGAAATGCTTTTGCAGGTTCTTCTTCAATAATTAGACTTGCCAGTCTGAGACAGTGACATGCTTTTTTTTTCTTTTTTGTCAGTGGAGCAGCTTTTTTTTTCCCAAAGACAAACCAAATAATTTCTCCTTAATGTATTTATTCATGTATGCACGGAGCGTCATTAGATTTTCTGTCCGTGCTCTTCAGTTATCTGTTTGCTTTTCTTCCCCGACTTCAGAGCAATCCATCAAGCCAAACGCTGGTGAAGGCTGGGTATGATTGGGCCTGAAGTGAGGCCTCCTTAACAAACGTAACAGAGTCCTGCCCATTCGGCACTGTGCTGGAAGCTGTGTGAAGATGATGTTGTTATTATTATAATCCAAATTGGATTACTGAGTTTGTTTTTCCAGAAAAATACATGAAATGTATTGAAACTGGGTTATTTATAATAATTCTAATATTTAAACATTACCTCCTCCCTGTGTTTGTGTGTGTGAGCTGATGTGTTTATGTGTGTAAAGTGCTTTATACAAAATCTGTGTTTCATTTTTTTTTAACTGAAAGGGTAAAACATCTCTTTTTGGTTACTGAGGTTAAGGTGAGGGTTAGGATTAGCATTAGGCTTAGAAATGACAAAATTATATTACTTAAAATTCATGAATTTATATTCATATTATGCAAAATTCGTATTACTTATTACTGGCATACAGATGGATGACATAAAGTATGTTAGTGAGATGCTGGGCCACCATAAGCCACCAGAACAGCTTCATTTTGTCTTGCCATGGATTCTATAACTCTGGAACTGTACTGAAGGGAGGAACACCGACTGTGCGGGACATAACATATCACTTCTATCATTTTCATATTCCACCCATTCAGTGACTCCTAATGCCCTGTGAATGGGGGCATCGTCATTCTGGAAAGTCCATCAGGATAGAAATGTTTCATCGCAGGATGAAGATGATCAGTCAGAATAATTTGAATTGATTTGCAGTGACCCCTATAAGGGGACAAGTGGACCCAAACCGTGCCAATAAAGTGTCCCCCACAGCATAACAGAGCCAACGGACCACCTCACTGTAGGGGTCGAGCATTCAGGCATGTATCGCTCTCTTGGTATACGCTGCACATGCACTCGCCCACTTTTGGAGAACAGGGTCCATCTGACCATATCTCTGGTTTCCACATCTCTGTAGACCAGTACTTGGAGTTTCCACTCCACCAAACTCTCAAATGTGCATTTGTCTTAGTAATGAGAGGTTAATGCACTGCAAACCTACTACAGCATCCCTCTCTATGTTGGTGTGGACAGGCTGTTCTTCCAGGTGTTGAGTTTTAGACGTTTTTGGCCTTTTTTTCTCAGTGAGGGCTTCTGGGCAGCTACACATTATTTCAGCCTCATACCGTCAATGCAAATTGGCTGAGCTATTCTTAGGTTATAGAAATGTGTCATAAAATTTTGGGCCAGCTGGTGGAAACTAGCCATTTAGGGGGTTAAGATCTGATATTCTGATGGGGACAGTTTTGGCGATTCTAGCAGGTTGTAACAGTGGTTAGAAGCCCATTTTCTCTGTATATTTGAATAAATTTTGGAACTTTCCACTAATTTTTCTTTGACATTCACCTTCCATATACAATTGGATTATCTTATTTCTAATCTACTCCAAAATATCTCATTAAAAATGAATAACTTTGTACTTAACTGCCATTTTGACTAATAAATAAATGGTGGTCTCTGATTTTTGCCCTTTTTTGTATGCATTATACTTATGAAAAATATGTGTGACTCAATACCCTGAGAAGGTATCAAAATGAATGTGTGTGTGTGTGTGTGTGTGTGTGTTCCTGTTTGAGAGTGTGTTCTAGTTAAGCTCCAGAACTCGTATTATGTGAGCTGAACTTTATCCTGCTGCTCTTCATTGTGCTCCTCTCTTCCAGGCCCTCTTTGGGCAGATTCCCGTCCGCCTTCCTCCTGTGCTGCCCCCCTGCTGCGCCCCTCTCTCCCTGCTCCTCTCAGTCAGTGGTGAGGTCAAAGAGCCTCTTCCTCAAGCGCTGGAGAGAATGGTGATATTGAGAGAAGTGTCAGTCAGCGCTCTGCGGCTCTGCCTCCTCACAGCCACGTTAATAATTCACACGCAGCGGCTCAAACAATAAGCACTGCTGTTTTGTTCGAGCAAAGGTGTTGCTGTTTGAACAGCTTTGACAAAGAAAGCAGAGGGGCTTAAAGATCCCCCTCTCGTCTCCTTGTCCTCCTACAACACACACACACACGCGCAGGTGCGCAGGGAGTATTGCACTGAGGTTTGTGTCTAGCTTAACTCCGAAGGCCCGACTGAAGCCTTTCCCGATTTTTAATGCTTTGCAGCAGGCACAAGGGTTTTGGGAAGTATCTGTGCAGAATACTGGAGGTTAGAAAGCAGACAGGGTTCTTATCCACTTGCCCTGGAACGGTTTAGAAGCTTTTCTCCAAACACTTCAGTCTTTAAAGGTTGAACCTTTAATTTACTCAGTTTCCCCCTTTACCCCAAATGTGATCAGTCAGTCAAGACATGGTTTGAGTTTGGTCTGGAGCTCTTACTCTGTGAGGCTAAAGGCTTTTACACACCAAGCACGGTTTATAATAGCACATGTATAAGTGAGGATCTAGCACAGAAAAATTGATTATTTGGTCCACAACATTTTTTTGCAGCATTATTTAATCCTCTGTTTGATTTTTGGGTGACACTTTATTCTGAGTGGTCCTCTTAGATTAAACAAACACTCAACAGACTCTCAGTAACGTCAAAAACATATGAGGGTTAGGATTAGGAACTGGGTTGAGGTTAAGGTGAGGGTTAGGATTAGGGCCAGGGTTAGGGTTAGGTTTAGTTTTTGGGCTGAGGTTAAGTTTAGGGTTAAGATTAGGGCCAGGGTTAGGGTGAGGGTTTGGGTAAGGTTAGGTTTTGAGTAATGGAAGTAACATATTAACAATACATCTACTTAATGTAAGTAATGTATCAACAGAGCATCTACAAGATATTTACTTCAGTGTATTCAGATGCTTCACTACTGCTACTTCACTGATATGTGGTTGATGTGTTAATCTGTTAAGAGCTTATTAATCATCTACAAAGGACCACTCCAATTAAGATGTTACTGATTTTTGCAGACTTTCTTCGACTATCATAGACATTGGCTTGGTGACAAAAAAGCTTTGTCTCCTTTTGTTTTCCCTGAGCAGAGAGCATTTCATACAGTGTCACAGTTGGCCTGTTTTTTGTGAGAATCAAGGAATATCTTTTTCATAAATATTCTGCCCGTTTGTTTTTTTTTCAGGGCACAAACATGGCACACTTCCAAAACAAAAATGTGCATCATATCCAGGGCGTGTAGTTCTGTTGGTAAAAAAATACAATTTTAATGATTTGCATTTTTGCGTTGTTGAGTCTTGTCATGTTTGGTGTGAAATGGCTTCAACATTGCTAAGAAATGAAAGAAGTTGGCACAATAGCTGATGTTAAAAGTGTCTGTTCAGACTTTTGCACACTACTGTAGGCGTCAGACAGCAAATGTTTTTTGGTCTTAGCCATATTGATCTAACAAATATTTAGTTATACATTGCATGATATACATTGCAGTTAATTGTACTGAATGAATTTAAGAATGCATAAAAACTAAACAACAGTAAGTTTATTTCTGCATATGCGATTTGTGTCTGATTAATGTTTATAAACTATCTAAGGGGGCTTTAAATATACTTTCTTTGAAGCCTGAAAAACGAGAGGTGCACTGCACAGCCTTTTTTTCCTTGAGATTTTGCTCTGCATTATTCTGGGCTGCTCCTGGCTGCACTTCTGCCTGTTGCTAAGCAACATCAGCAATATAACTGTCTATCAGTTGTGCTAGGAAAATATTTGTAAAAGTTTTGTTTATCATTTCACGTGAAATCATACAGCGACTAATCCCTCCTCCTAGACAACTGTCACTGAAGGCCCACCTTTCCTTTAACCTGATTGGTCAACACAGAAAAAAAACACTCATGGTGCAGGCTCCTTGACCGCTTCAGCATTCTTTATAGCGCTGAGTGCTAGCCCTTAGGAATATAGGTTGATTGACTATATTAATGAGCTTAAATATCATTTGATGCTGTGACACCAGGATATATTTGGAAGATATTGTGATATTGAATTTTATCATTGCTGCCCAGCACTGAAAGTAGGTTTGCAACACGATGACATACTGTTATCTATAAAAATGAATAGAAGTTTGGACAAAATTTTACCAATGCAATACATGCAGTCCCATACAGTGCCAATGTCTTGACTGTTGAGCTACGTTTAGGGTGGGGGGTGTATAAATATTTCGACTTGTTTCTGATCTATTCTTTTAAAATCAGCTGAAGAAGCAGGTTCTGGACATGCTCTGGAGACACTGACAGCTGATCCTGATTTGATCTTGTGCGTTTCTGTGCAGGTGACGTTGGGGAAGGTGCTAAAAGCCATCGTGGTGATGAGGAGTCTGTTCATCGACCGCACCATCGTCAGGGGATACCACGAAAACGTCTACTCTGAGGATGGAAAGGTAAAGGTTAAGCCACGACTGGACTCCAGGAATACTCAGATCTCTCAGGACTGACCTAGGGTCAGGCTTTGTGACCAAAATGACCATGAATTAGAGTACCGCCGTTCTGAATGGGTCTGGAAATTCTAGTTCCGGCCTTGACATGAGCTCTTGATTAACCCTTTAAGCCAGTTTGTTTGCATTAAAGACAGATATAAGTCACTTACATATCATCACTGCCCAAAGAAAACCACACATTTTTATTTTTCTGCGTCATTTCAACACATTAGGTGTCTTTAATGTTGTGTAAAAAATTCATGATTAATGGGCCAATAGAAATGCTCTAAAATCACTTGGAATAAAATCTCTTTACATTGACTTACATTGAAAGGTAAGAGTGTTTTTGCCTTCTCTTGTAAAGTTACTGTTTTTCTTTGGACAGCAACGATATGGAAACATGAACCACCATGTCAGAAAGACTGGATCTAAGTAAAAGATCTGAAGCTGGCGATGCTAACATGTCGTAATATTTCAGAATGCACAATCAGGAAAGGCGAAATTTGCTGTCAGTCAGTTTATTGCTTTGATTTTTGCTGATGTGTTGCAGTTTTTTGAGGTATTTAAGGCAGGTAAGTGCACCTGCGCTGTATTTGATTGCTGTGGTTACACCTGCACCAAAATGTTGTCACATAATTCACATATGACTCAGCGTGAAAAATAGCCAGTCACCCCTTACTTTCAATGTAGAACTTCATTTGATTCTGGTTATTTAAACTGGCAACTGATTTAAAATTGAAAAATTAAAGGGTAAATTATATTGTTAGTATTTTAAGTTTGGCTAATAGGAAGTCCACAGTGTGAGCTTCAGTTATTAATAAAAATTGTCCACAAAAATGGGCAATTGAGCTGTAAAGAAATCAGAATAGGCCATAATCATGATCGGTGCACCCCTAGTAATTTGTAGTCCTTTGCAACTTTCAAATAATTAGTAGGACAAAACGAAGCTGTAAACAAAAAATAAATAAATGAATGATGTATGGAGCTGATAAAGATTCTAAAATGATTGAGAAATCTGTATAACATTAAGAATTACAATCAAATTAATATCCAAAACTGATGATATTTTAAAGGTGATGATTAAATCTCAAGGCAGGTAACTTGACGAAAGATAAAGTAAATAGAGAATTAGACTCTATTATTCATTACTCCTTTTTATTACTGGTCACAGAATTCCTGGAATATTGAATAAAATATCTAAAAATACCTTTTGGCAGATACTTTATAAATATTGTTTAAATTGTTATTTCATAAAATAACAAAAAGTGTTAATATAAGAAGAAATTCCAAGCTGTAAGTTCAGGGGAGGTCAGATAAACTTAGTCCTGGACTCTAAAGGCCTTTCATTGGAGGCTCATTACTAACAAAATAATTAAGTTCTGTTTGTGGGAGTCCAGCTTTTAGGAGTGGCATCCCCAATGTCCATTAAGCCCAGTCCTGGGCCCAACTATAGGTCCACCATTAGGGCCAGTGCTCTTCTGAAAATCTTTTTATGGATATAGTGGCCTTAACAACGTTACGTATTCTTATTACGATTCCCACACAGTCACTTTTCCTCAGATCTTTTTTTTGCACAAGGTCAAGCTGTCCTCATGGGCTCTTTGGAGAGTTTTGTAAGGCCCTTGGCTCTGGTGGCTTAGGTAACGATATGAAATCCAGGAATTTTTTTAAAAGCTATTGACACTCGTCTCTTCACGCAACCTTTTAATAATTCAGACATGTTCAGCTCCCTCTCCCTCTCTGACATGAAAAGCCAGTAAAGGATGTGAGACGCTGTCTATCCTTTAACGCCCCCCCCGCGTCAGGTTCGACATTAGCGGCTCATTCATTTTGAATATTGCGACGTGTATCTCTCCTGCTTTGCGCTAGCCGGCCCGTTTGAACACGGCGAGGTGACACTAATACGAGGCGGCCATCAAAGAACACACAGAACCTTGATCACGGTTAATTATGGCAGCAAGTGTGAAACCTGTGAACTGGCTGCCAGGCCGGTGCTTTGTGAGGAGCAGTGCTGGGCCGCCGGGCTGTGTGTGTGTGTGTGTGTGTGTGTGTGTGTGTGTGTGTGGTGAGCAATAACAATTAACCTCTAGAGAGGGCTGCTTAAGCTGACAGCAACAGGGTACTCAGCGCACCTTTATGTGGCTGTGAATGCAGCTAGAAGCTTCACGTTGCTGTTAGAATCGCTCGTCCAAGTTTTACTGGTCAGGCTTTGTCCATTTCTGCGTGACTAACTCTGGCTGTGTTAGTAGTATTTCACCAGTAGAGTGAAGATATTATGTATTGTGCAGCCCAGGTGATATTTCAATTAGCCGATAATATCAGGCAATATTGATGGCCCCCGGTTTTGAAGATACAGACCAATATGTTGCCAGTAAGGATGCAAATTTTGGCAAGTTCTGTTGATAACCGATCATTTTAGTCCACTTAATCGTTCACCATCAAACCTAAAACCAGAGAAATGCCACATGAAAACATCACAGTATTGTGTTTTATATGAGCAAGGCTTTATTAGACTATGAATGAAAACACAGCCTAACATATGAGATATGACCATATTCTACTTACCTTTACCAAATATTATTAGGCTAAGTTAACAAATATATTTGACCTGAACAGGGCTATCTTAAGTTCATATGCATAGTTTAAACAATAATCAACATTGAGTGTGTTTACATGCACTTACTAATCTGATCATAATCGGATTTCTGCAGTTATCTGATTATTCAAATGGTCATGTAAACAGCACACTCTGATTTCTTAGATCGGAGTAAGGTCTAGAAATCCGATTAAGAAATCTGATAAAGAGAGCTGGATTTTAGCTCAGTAATCAGATTTCTCAGTTCACGTGAACTCTTTCGAATTTCTCAGTCTGCGCATGAGTGAAAACAGACCGCGGTACAGGAAATAAACAGCAGTGTTGATGTAAGATGGCAGCAAAACACTTTTGGAGTGACACTAAAACTACATGCTTGACAAAATGAAGAATTTGAATATTCTTCATTTTCTAAATGATGTTTGTTCCTATTTTCGGGTAAAGTGGAGCGATGTTTAAAAAAAAAAAGCTGCGGCATGAAGTTTGAGTTTTACATTACGCTTACGTCACGTCTTCTTCTGTGAGTTTATTGGCCGCTTGCAAAGCAGAAAGCCGATTTCTGCCTGACTCATTGTCTGATTACCCAAGTGCATGTAAACACGTTGATCAGATTACTTACAAAATCTGATTTTCTGTGGTTATCGTATTATTAAGTGCATGTAAACGGGCTCATTATCTTGGTAGCTCACAGCTTTTAAGCTTTTTTTTCAATGGAACAAATTACACAGACTAACCCTTATGAAGACATTGGAAGGCTGTAGCTTAAGGCTACATTCAACAGAAGCAACATGATGATAAAAAAAAGAATCTGTTTGTTAGTATTTGTTGGTTAACCGGTTAATCATTAACATCCAGTTGGTTCTAATCACCATGTCGTTTGTTCTGAGACCTCCCCCTGACTGTGATGGTCCTAATCACCATGTCGTTCATGTCGACTGTGATTGGTCCTAATCGCCATGTCGTTTGTTCTGAGACCTCCCCCTGACTGTGATGGTCCTAATCACCATGTCGTTCATGTCGACTGTGATTGGTCCTAATTGCCATGTCGTTTGTTCTGAGACCTCCCCCTGACTGTGATGGTCCTAATCACCATGTCGTTCATGTCGACTGTGATTGGTCCTAATTGCCATGTCGTTTGTTCTGAGACCTCCCCCTGACTGTGATGGTCCTAATCACCATGTCGTTTGTTCTGAGACCTCCCCCCGACTGTGATGGTCCTAATCACCATGTCGCTTGTTCTGAGACCTCCCCCTGACTGTGATGGTCCTAATCACCATGTCGCTTGTTCTGAGACCTCCCCCTGACTGTGATGGTCCTAATCACCATGTCGCTTGTTCTGAGACCTCCCCCTGACTGTGATGGTCCTAATCACCATGTCGCTTGTTTTGAGACCTCCCCCTGACTGTGATTGGTCCTAATCACCATGTTGCTTGTTCTGAGACCTCCCCCTGACAGTGATTGGTCCTAATCACCATGTCGCTTGTTTTGAGACCTCCCCTGACTGTGATTGGTCCTAATCACCATGTTGCTTGTTCTGAGACCTCCCCCTGACTATGATGGTCCTAATCACCATGTCGCTTGTTTTGAGACCTCCTCTGACTGTGATGGTCCTAATCACCATGTTGTTTGTTTTGAGACCTCCCCCCGACTGTGATGGTCCTAATCACCATGTTGCTTGTTCTGAGACCTCCCCCTGACTGTGATGGTCCTAATCACCATGTTTCTTGTTTTGAGACCTCCCCCTGACTGTGATGGTCCTAATCACCATGTTTCTTGTTCTGAGACCTCCCCCTGACTGTAATGGTCCTAATCACCATGTCGCTTGTTCTGAGACCTCCCCCCGACTGTGATGGTCCTAATCACCATGTCGCTTGTTCTGAGACCTCCCCCTGACTGTGATGGTCCTAATCACCATGTTGTTTGTTCTGAGACCTCCCCCTGACTGTGATTGGTCCTAATGACCATGTTGCTTGTTTTGAGACCTCCTCTGACTGTGATGGTCCTAATTACCATGTCGCTTGTTCTGAGACCTCCCCCTGACTGTGATGGTCCTAATCACCATGTCGCTTGTTTTGAGACCTCCCCCTGACTGTGATGGTCCTAATCACCATGTTGCTTGTTTTGAGACCTCCCCCTGACTGTGATTGCTCTTAATTACCATGTTGTTTGTTCTGAGACCTCCCTCTGACCATGATTGGTTCTAGTCATCACACCATTTGTTCTGAGACCTCCCCCTGACTGGGATTGGTCCTAATCACCGCATTGTTTGTTACGATACCTCCCCCTGACATGTCAGGTGATTGTCTACGCCTCCTGCACAGATCAGATCTCTAGTATAGGGTGGAAATGTAAGAATCTGCATTTTTTTAAC